GACTGAGGTAAATTTGGGTCTAAATGGAAGTTTGTGACTGGGAGAGATTTTAGGCCTTGCTCTGATTTCCAAGTCATACTGACTGTGTAGATTGGGATCTGTCATATGCGGTATGAGAACACCCCCAGCTGGACAAAGACTTAATAGTCAGTAATATTCATTAATCATGGAAACCTTTAGTTCTCTATGCAGCAACTGGGGAAAGAAAAACAAGAAGTTGGGGGAGGATGGAGAGATGAGCATCTTTCCAATCATGAGAGAGGAGTACGGCAACAGCATTCTGGACCATCCCTTATATTTAGAAAGTAGGGGCCAAGTATAGCAGTGGCATACAATAAACGGTGGTGAAAGTAACACCGCAGGTTTAAGTTGGACTCCTAAAATGGGTGTAATGGGGCCAAATGCTGGCCCTATTAAGCTCAGGTGGCACAAAGTGGCCAGATTCCAGCTATAATTAGCCAGCAGGGAAATCCTCTTGTGAAGCCAGGTGCTATGTCTGCTACCCACCACCATTTGTCAGTGCTGGGGAGAGAACATTGCAGAGCTACATTGTGTAAGGCAGTGGCTCTCCTCTGTGCAAGGCAGTAGCTCTCAACCTTTCCAGACTACTGTACCTCTTTGAGGAGTCTGATTTGTCCTGCATACCCCCAAAGTTTCACCTCACTTAAAAACTACTTGCTTACAATATCAGACCTAAAAGTACAAAAGTGTCCCAGCACACTGTTACTGAAAAATTGCTCACTTTCCCACTGTTACCATATAGTTATAAAATAAATCAATTGGAATATAAATATTGTACATTTCAGTGTACCGTACATACAGCAGTTTAAACAAGCCATTTTCTGTATGAAATTTTAGTTTGTACTGACTTCACTAGTGCTTTTTATGTAGCCTGTTTTTAAACTAGGCAAATATCTAGATGAGTTGATGTGCCCTGTGGAAGACCTCTGCGTACCCCCAGTGGTATGCGGATCCCTGCTTGAGAACACTGGTGTAAGGGGATTGTTGCCCCCTTACTGAAACTTAGTTAGTGGGGCTTTTTGGTTGGCCTCTCCCAGTATCAAAAGAAAAGGGAAGGGTTGATGAGAAATCAGGATCCTGAGACTGACAGTCCCCAGGGCCAATGGGGAGAGGCCAATGCTCCAGGTCAGCCTGATTGACAGGCAGGCAGGCAGACCAATGAGGGAGTCAGGAGCCCTGACCAGCTGTGCTGATGGAGAGCCGGGGTTGAACGACAGCGGGGAGGTGTGGGCCCAGAGCTGGGGCGTGGATGTCCACTGTGCCACAAGTAACACAGGAGCCGAGCGTGGTGAGCAGCTGGGGAAAGCGAGGGGGGACCCTGGGCAGTGAGGGCCCAGAGGAGGGAGATGTCACTAGACAAGAAATCTTGTAGGCCGGACTTGGAGGAGGGGGGTTGTGACCCCGATGGGAGGGCCGATGCTGGGAATAAAGGGTCCTACCACCTAGAGCCTGAGGGTGCGTGACCGCTGCCAGAGCGGGTGTCTGACCTCTGCTATCACTGCAGCACAGCCAGGACCTGGGACTTGTGAGGAACAGACTGAACTTTCCTTATGTCCCAAAGACTGCTGTTTGTGGATTCCCTGTGCTCACATGGCAGGGTTACTTGTTTCCTTTAACCTTTTCCATTTTTCCCCCCCTTTCAGTTGTTTAATAAATTGTATTTGCTTTGAACTGTATGTAATGGTCAGTGGTTCAGGGAAGCATCCAGTGAGAAGAGAATATCCCAGAGTGGGGATACCCTAGCCCCTGCTGTAAGTGACCACAACAAGACTGGGGGTTCAGCCTCCCAGGAATCCTGGGCCCAGCCTGGTTGAGGTTACAAGGACTCTGCTGCATGGGAGAGTGGAAAGGAAGTCCTCGAAGCCAGGCAGGCCTCCCTTTAAAAGGAGTGGAAAGGAGGACTCAGATCCGTTCGCTAGCCAATTCCACCTGGGTAGTGTATAAGCCAGGAAAGTTCCCCATAATAGCAGGACCATCCCCTGCACTTACATCTGGTCACATAAAGGCTGTATACCAATGGTATAACATCCCCACATGTAGGCAGCTGGCCTGGCTCCCCAGCCCATGAAGGTCTCCGTACGACACCCAGCCTTTTCAGATCCTTCCTTCAGAGCAGTTTTAGTCTTAAACTTAAAACATCAAAACAAAGCTGTTCTTCTACCCACCACAGACTCCAGCTTGCAGAGGCTTTCCCCCTTACCTCTTTTAGTGATGAAAGGAGAAGAGACCACCCTAATCTTCCCTTTCCGTCAATCCCCCTGCTTCAGCACCAATTACAAGAACCCATCTCCCTCCTGCAGATCTCACCACTGAGCTCTCTCAGCCCTTTATAGGGTTCACTGGATGCTTTTCCAGATGGTTTTGATAATCAAAAAGGGCTGACTGGCTCCAGGCCCTTAAAGGGGCAGACTACCTTGTTACACCAAGGCTACTCTAACTAACACTAGCCACATACAGAGGTTCAGATTGCTATAATATTGCCCTGATGGCTCCTCTCTCCCCCTGCCAAGCAGAATTGGGATGCAGGGGAGAATCTGATCTTATATTTTATGTGCCTGAGCTTCTGTTTCTCTCTGGGTGGTTTTTTAATATGTGAAATGTTTTGAAGCATATCCTTTTTTCTTTAGACACAATTAATTCCTTTGTAATTGCATTAATGCAAAAAAAGCAAATAAAGTTTTAATAAAAATAAAGCAGCCTTTAAACTCACGCCCTTTGTAACATAATCACACCGATGAACATACAGAAATAGAAATTTTAATAAAGGTACAGTCTTAATAGGATTTAAATTCACAGATGGAATAGTATAAAAGACATGTTTTTCTTCAACTAAGCAACATAACTTTTGTCCATCTTTGCTGAAATAGCCACAACATCTGATCTTGTTTCTTTACCTCAACAGAAGCATACAGTATTGGATATTATAAAGAAAAAAATTAGGAATAGATGGCATATAAAGATTACAAAATTAGAAATTTAATCTTTCTAGTTTATAACAATATCTATAGGCAGATAAAATGTAATGAACATTATATTTAATACTGTTTTGTTTATGTTTTGTTTCTTGACAGAATAGTGCTGTTTAATTATTTTTATTAAAAGTAGAGCTTTTCTGGTTACATAAAAATCATGAGATACTGAACAGGTATTGATCCAGTTGACATGGGAAGTGAAATCCTGATCCTGTTGAAGTCAATAGAAATTTTCCATTGATTTCAATGAAGCCAGGATTTCATCCAGGGACACTAAAAGATACAGAGGATTTCTCATATAAAACCAGCCCCACCAGTGGACTAGAACAGATTGCTTTTGCAATTTCAAACAAACTCTTTCCATTAGGATATGCAGCCTCTGGCTGCAGTCCAAGGGAATTGCCATTGGAGGGCTCCCTATTGCACACTGAATGCACCACCAACTTATTGGGCCTGATTCTGATCTCCCACTGTTTTTTTCCTACCCCATTGGCAGTGGGGTGTGTGAGGATCAGAATCAGGTCAAGTGAGTTTTAAAAGGAAAAAAATCACTAAAAATATTGACTGTAAGGACTGCAGATTTTAGATCTGTTCACTAGTTCACACTGGCCTCTATGTGCAGGCAAATCAGACAAAACGTACTACATCCCTTGCTTCTTTAATAAAATATAAGAAGACAGGGCAGAATTCCTTAGGGCCAGATTGCTTCCACCCCCCAGTCAAACTCATGGAGGGAAGGTGTTGTTCCATGGGGGAGTTTGACCCTGCCTAGAAGGAGCTGTGTGTCAGCATCCGACTTTGTGGATTCCCTGCCACCTGCGTTTCCACACACAGATCCTGTGCCAATGGACTCCAGTGAAAAAGTACTATAAGGACTTCCTCTAGTTCAGGGGTCTCAAACACATGGCCCGCGGGCTGCATTTTGCTGTGGTCCGCCAAGCTCCCCGTGCCCCCACCCCAGTTATTTCTTGCGGCTGCCAAGCTCCCCTCCCCTGCCGCCCCGGCAGCGTACCTCGTCCCCGGTCCTCTACCTACCTCCAGGCACTTCCCACCACCAAACAGCTGGTTGGCGGCACTTAGCGGTTTCCAGGAGGGAGGGGGGAGGAGCGGGGAGCCGTGTGCTCAGGGGAGGAGGCGGAGAAGAGGCATGGCAGGGGCGGGGATTAGGGGAAGGTATTGGAATAGGGGCAGGGAGGGGGTGGAGTTGGGGTAGGGACTTTGGGGAAGGGTTGGAATGGGGGTGGGGAAGGGGTGGGGAGAGGCGGGGCGGGGCCTCATGGAAGGGGTGGAGTGGGGGTGGGGCCAGGGGCAGCAGGGGGGCAGTGTCAATGATGCAGCCCTCGGGCCGATGTATTAGTCTTCATGTGGCCCTCCTAGTAATTTGAGTTTGAGATCCCTGCTCTAGTTGCAGCTGTCCCAGGTCCTTTCCTAAAGGTGGAAGATTCCCCACCACTGGTAACAGGACTGATGGGAAGATAATGTGCATCCCTACATCTCTTCTCCTCCCAGCCTGCCATAGCCTAATGCAGGCTGCCTCGCTGTCCATGCAGTCTTCACCCACTTCCCACACCAGGATTCAGTAAAACCTCTTGGTGGGGTCCAGTGCCATGGAGATAATTGACTCTCCCCATTCCATGCAAGGTGAGATCTCACAGGTGAAAGATCCCACTCTGGGAGCAGATGCTCGGCCCAAGATCTGACCCTTAACCTTAAATGTTAGCTACACATTTCTCTCCATAAAGAGGGCATCTATGAAAATGGAGGTGTGACTGTCCCTGTGAGGCACACAGACCCATATCCTCAGCTGGTGTAAATTATCACAGCTCCTTTGAAGGCAATGGAGCTGCACTGATTTACACCAGCTGATTATCAGGCCCAGAGAGTGTGCAGAAGACTGGTGCAAGGGTGTGCGCCTCATACATTTTCCCATTAGGCCCCACTTTGAACTGGCATTACTGGGGTTGAGAGTATTCAGCACATTGCAGATTCTTGGTCTATGCTTCAGTGCAGCCCTTCATCCCCGCTTTCTCTGGGAATCGCTTGTCATAGCTTTGCACAGTGAACAGCATTGTTTTTTCCTGCTGGTGGGGAAAAAAAAAAATCTTGTGTGATGAAACTGTCCAAAGTGAATTTTTTCATCTTGTTCTGACAAAGGATAGGTAAGATTCCAGTGTTAATTGGGTCACACTGAGTGTTACTGTAGTGCTGTTTGATATAGGGATAGGCCATAAAGAGCATTAGCCACTATAATAGAAAGTTATAACTCAGATCTGGGTACCTGACATTGATTTGAAATATACCAACAGGAGCAAGGGGGCAGACTTAATTAATGTGGCATAGACTTTTCATAGGAGTATGTGTTCTTCCCACAATGTGGTGGAAACAAACCACACTGGAATTAATTCTGAAGGGCCCCGAGGCAGCAATGATCTGAAGTCAATGGCATTATTGCTTTTTGCTCATTTTCAGCTTCTGTTTGGTTATGGCAGTGGCATAATAGCCTTTAAACTTGACCAGGAAAATGGGGATTGGAATGATAATAGTTAACATGCCAAATATTGCAGCAAAGGCTGCCATCACCTGGCCAAAGGTGGTGAGAGGGATGATGTCGCCATAGCCCACAGTGGTTAGCGTGATCAGAGCCCACCAGAAGCAAATGATAATGTCTGTGAAGTGCAAATCCCCCCGGTAAGAAGGATGAACACCTAGCAACTCGCCATAGAAAAAGAGAGAACCAAAGAAGAGGGTTTCAAAGGCCAGGATCATCAGCAGGAAGCAGATCTCTTGGATGATGGACTTGAGCGTGTAGGACAGGACTCTCAGGATCAGAGGGGTCTCTATTAGCTTGATTATCTTCAGAAGTTTGAGGAGGTAGACTATGCGGACAAAACCCAGCCAAAGTGCTAGGCTAGGCATTTTCTGAATCTGCTCGGTGGTGAAGAGTTCAATGTAAACTGGGAAGAGGGAGAGAAAATCAGCCACATTCAGAGGATTTCTGAGGAATTTCTTTTTGTCTGGACAGAAGAAAAATCGCATGGAAAACTCAAAAGTGAACCAGAGGACACAGAACAGCTCCAGGTGGAGCAGGTAAGGGGCCTGGTGATAATAAGGCTCATGGATGCTGTGGATCACATCGGAACGGCCGAAAATGGTAAGGTTAGCAGCAAAGTACTCATACTGTGCCTTCGTCTCCTCACAGAATATGATGACGATTCCAATGATGAACAGCAGAGAAATAATAGCCAGGCACTGCAGAGGGACAGAAAAGTCAAATGTAGGATCAGGTCAGTGTGAGAGTATCACAAAACTTCAAAGCCTCACTTCACATCCAGGATTCTCAGCATCAAACATTACCTTCTCCTAGACTAACTTTTACCCAATTTCTGTCTAGGAATTGATTCACATATTGAAGGTTTCTTTTTCTTTTCCATTCTTACCTGTCCAAGGCCAAGAGGGGGGTCTGGGTCAAGGAAAATAATGTGAACTATTAGCATCTGGACTTGTAGAGAAGGGGAGACATCTGACAGCTGGAGCAATATGGACAGATTCACTGAGATTGCCCTAGCACAGGGATCGGCAACCTTTGGGATGCAGCCCGCCAGGGTAAGGCCCCGGCGGGCCAGGCCGGGCTGGTTTACCTGTCGCATCCGCAGGTTCAGCTGATCGTGGCTCCCACTGGCCGCGGTTCGCTGTCCCAGGCCAATGGGGGCTGCGGGAAGCGGGGGCCAGCACATCCCTCAGCCTGTGCTGCTTCCTGCAGCCCCCATTGGCCTGGAGTGGCAAACCATGGCCAGTGAGAGCTGTGACTGGCCGAACCTGAGGCTGCTGCAGGTAAACAAACCGTCCCGGCCCACCAGCGGATTTCCCTGATGGGCCATGTGCCAAAGGTTGCCGATCCCTGCCCTAGCACAAAGTGCTGGCTCAAGTGACTCAGCTGTTCTAGACAGACTGGAAAATGTCCTCTGCCTTCTCCAAACCTGCAGTTGCTGCCCCAAGTGCCTATTCGGAGAGGAGAGGAGAGGAATTAATGAAATGCACTAAATAACTATTTAACTGTACACAGCACAGTAGCAAATGCGCAGTCCTAGCATGAAGAGCAGTGGGGCACAGCAAAGGGCCACAGCCATGGCACAGCACTAGCAGGGAGACATAACAGCATTTTAGTTACAGAAAATAAAATGAGCTGAGAGTTGACACTTTTTTCCCCTGATAGAACAAGCAGAAATCACCTGAGAGTTAATTAAGCCCCCTGGCATAAGTGTTTAGCATTAACTCAACCATTACCTGGTTTAACTTCCATTCCAAGGTTTAGAAAAGCAGGTGACCTGGTAGAACCCAAGGTAAAGAAGAATGTTTGAATTTGAGTCACTCCAGTGAACAGACTCTTAACGGACTTCACAGGCTTCCAAATTACATGCCTTGTATTGTTTAATAACAACAGGTAGATAGTAGGTCTAAAGCTGGTCAAACTCTCCTTTACAAATAACAGATTTACACTGGTGTAAATCAGGAGTAATTTTAATGAAGACAGTGGAGTCAGCTGTAAAACTGGAGTGAGGTCAGAATCAGACCCTATATTAATTGCACATTTATCCTGTTTCTGGTTGGAGAACTTTCATGAACTGATCCTTATTTTCAAAAATATTTGCTGAATGCTTTGGAGGCATAATTTAGAGCCTATGGATCAGTGGTGGGCAACCTGCAGCCCAACAGGGTAAGTTGATTGCGGGCCGCAAGACATGTTGCTGGTGTTGACCGTCCGCAGGCACGGCCCCCTGCAGCTCCCAGTGGCTGCGATTCACCGTTCCTGGCCAATGGGAGCTGTGGGAAGCGGCAGCCAGCACGGCCCGCCGCTTCCCACAGCTCCCACCGCTTCCCACATCTCCCATTGGCCAGGAACGGCAAACTGTGGCCACTGGGAGCTGCGGGGGGCCGTGCCTGCGGACGGTCAATGTCAGCAACGTGTCTCACGGCCTGCATTCAGCATACCCTGATGGGCCGCAGGTTGCCCACCATTGCAGTAGGTTGTTTATGAAATGATCACTTCAATTGTTTATTAATCATGTTGAATAGGGAAGGGGGTCACCTAAGTCACATGGTCTGGTTTCAGCTCCCAAGTGGGATTAGTAAGATTTTATAATATAAAAATAACTCATAGTAAATAGCTCATTTCTAGTATGAATTTTCATTAGTGCTAAAACTCATGAAACCTCTAGGATTCACAAATTGCCCTGGAATACCCAGGCAAATACTTCTGTGTAACTAATAGCAGCATCACCTACTCAAATCAGAGCAAGTTGAACTGCGCACTAAAAATATTGGTGAATCAAGTTGTTATTCTGGGATGTTGTATTTAATTATTCAAGTACTGTATCTGTAAGCAGGACTCTGAACCCGTGCACTAGAGCTGCAAGTTCCTAAGCTTTTTCCACTGAGGTTTAAATTCAGCTAACCCCAACAGATTCAGTCTCACGCTGACAAATCTATCTGGTTCTCCACTGGGAGCATTACCTTGGCACTTAAAGAGGAAAAGGGCTTTTCAAAGATAGACCAGATCTTTGGCTGCCATCTGGCCCTCCAGCTGAAATCCCTTCTTTCCACCTGGACTACGAGGCGCTCGTCATCAGTATGTTCGTTCTCATCCCAAACATTAAATTCCTCCAGCTGGCTGTCTTTGTTGGTCAGCTTCAGCCAACAGCAGGGTGCCAGCTGTGCATCACTTATCTCCCAGAAAGCCAGCTCTTCCTCCAAGACTGATCTGCAGGTGTCTGCAGGACAATGGAGGTGTTTGGTCCTGTAATAGCTCAACACATAGCCAAAGAGCTGAGCACTCCTGTCAAAGAAGAATTCTTTGGTGATAGGGTTATAATCGTATAGTGTGCTGGCATGGGGCTCTGTGAGGCTGCACAGCTTGGTCCCTGGGAAGGTCCGGAGGGTACTGCAGTACATCTCATGTCTGATTCCTCCAACATTCAGGATGATCTTCTCTTTTGAGCCATCCATCCTTCAGGTGTCAAGTGGTGAGTTCACGTTCTGATTGGCTTCTGTTAATCTCTAGCAAGCCTACAAGAGGGAGAAAGGGTAAGAATGTAAATTAAAACAAAACCCTCAAGGCTGCAAATCTGAAGCAGGGCAGTTTTCCATGTCAAGTCACACCACTCTGTTAAAGCTCATTTTGTAACTTCCCTGAGCACTGGAATTTCCTAGAGAAAGTGTCCGACTCCTCTCACTACTGACATATTCTATTCAATATAGGCTCTTCTACTGAGCTCATCACTCATCTGAATGCCTTCGAATAATGCACTAAGCAACATGACTGTCTGTCACGTGTTGTTTGTTCTCTCATCTTCTCCCTATGGAAGAAGGATATACTGTGGAGTGTCTTGTTTTTGGTAGAGGTTTTTTAATGTAATATAATTTATTTTTTAATATACATGTTGGCATGTATTTATGTTAGAGAAGGCAAGGTCCCATGTTCCAGAGGAGCAGAGCTTTTGACCACGGTCTTCATCCCAGAGCTTTAGGTGATCTTTTAGACTTCACCTATCCTGCTGGGTGTGGGAGATTTTCTCCTCTCTCCACATTACCTTGATGATCTGGAGTGTCACAAGTGAGATGATATGACTGCATGGCTGTCAACTGGACCATGTTTTCTGGGAGGGGAAGGTAAATGTTCTCTGAGGTTCCCCTTTGTCTCTTCATTCCTCCCCTCTGGACTCATGTTGGGCATAACCATCTGCTCAGCTGTAGGATGCTGTTTCCTCCTGAAGTCTATCAACACGACGCCTGGGTCAGCCTGGAGAGGCTCATGAACAACATGAGGCACTCCCTTCTCCAGGGGCTGAATGTGATGCCTCCATAGCAATCCCAGACCCTGTTGCCCAGGACTCTGTCACTGAGCAGCATGATTCATGTACTGTTACTGATAACCCAGTATCAGCTCCATTCTCCAAAGCTTAAAATATGTTGAGCTCAAATGTGTAGAAGCTGTTTCTCAGTTCTGTATTAATGTCATTACAAGAGAAATTTCATGAGTCAACCTCAGTCTCCTGCACCATACAACATGTGGCCATGACAGAGAACTGGGGCATTTCAGAAAGGACCCATGGATATCATGCACACAGACACCTCTGTCATTTCTGACATACTGCACCGCCTTCTATGGCAGTCCTGGGATATACCTCTCAGTTCTGACCTGTATCACTGCGAGCTGGTCTAGACCTGTCCTCTCTTTCCTTCCCACTCACATATGTGCACCCCACCCATTCATTCCTGTCTGTACTTTATACTATGGTGTGGTCCAGTTGTCACCTTCTTCTGTCTTTGTGGAAAGCACTTGGGCAGAGAAGCACCAGCTCCCTTGTGTGGTACCAAGGAATGGGAGCTCAGCGCCTTTCCACTTGTGACCTACTGGTAATCAAGATTTGAACCTACAGTCCAGAAGTGAAGGGCTTGGACACTATCACAGTATGTTACTAGGCTCCCCATATAGTGCCCTTTCACCAGAAGGCTTGGTAAGAGAAGGCTGGGGCTAGCTCAGAAGTTCACTAGAAGCATAAATTAATTGCTGTTTGGCTGCCACAGTGACTGCCCTCAACACACATGCGCACACACCAAGGGCCTGATCCAGCTTCCAGTGAAGTCAATGGCAAAACTCCTATTGATTTCAATAGGAGCAGGATTGGGCCCACACAGTACATAGATACACACACTGCTTCGTGCTTGCAGCACATAAACTCAAATACTGCAGCGAGGATATGAGTGACACAGCAAGTTAGACTAACCTTCTCAGAGTTCAAAAAACCTGTTACTGGACCTTTGCGAGAGCATTCTCTTTCCTTTTACAAGCAAGTAGCTGTGTAAAAAGCTGATTTTAAATGCCTTTGCTAAATTCTTATTCATCTGCTTAGGATGCTAGATGCCTCTTGCTCAACAGTACAAATCCCAAGTGAGAAATCAACTAAAAAGCTACATTTCAGAGCCTTACCTTGGAGCTATTGCAGTGGCTTTGTGACCAGAGGAGAGGAGAAGAAGCCTAGGAAGAGACAAGTTCAGTGAAAACAGAATGTTCAGTGGCTGGGCTCCAAGCTTAGGCTCAGGGATGCTAGAAAACAAAACCAACCAATCGAACAGAAAAGATGTTGAACCCCCCCCAATCCCCTCCAAGTCTGTCCTATCAGCAATCACGTTTCATCCTCTAAGGAATAATACTCAAACATGTCAACAACTGCCAAGCCAGATGTTCTCCTGGCCACATTATTCTTCCCTCTGCCACCCGCTGTGCGTCTTACAGCCTCAAAGAACAGTGGTATTTTGAAAATATGTAATGCTCAAGCTTCCTGGGCCTAATTTAAAATTAGAATGTTGAGCAACAGAAATGCAGGGAAAATTTGTTCCTTTCCTGACTGTTCCTTACTCAAGTTAAATTAAAAAAAGAGCTGTCACCCTCCTTTCATGTAAAGTGCTTTCCATTCATTTCTAGCTGCAGAGGAAATAAACTTTTGCACCTGCAAATTTTTAACTTGTTTTGGTCCCTGATTATATTAGGAAAATTTTAGGTATCTAACTGCTGAGACTGTTAAAAGAAAATTCACTGTTCAAGACAGAGTGTTTGAGATGGTCTTTTAATTACTCCTCAAAGTCCGTTTCCAGATTTTCTCTGTCAGACTACCTGTAATACTATTCAAAGGAATTAGAGACAAAAAGGACTTTTCACGACACCTTTCTCACCCCAGCATTAGGCTATTTCCTAAGAGGGTATGTCTACACTGCAATAAAACGCCCACAGATGGCCTGTGACAGCTGACTTGGGCTCACAGGTCTCAGGTTGTGGGGCTATAAAATTGCCTCACGGAGTCCCAGAACATGAGCTCCAGCCGAGCCCAAATGTCTAGACTGCAATTTTATAGCCCTGCAGCCTGAGCCCCGCAAGCTCGAGTCAGCTGACACAGGCCAGCTGCAGGTGTTTTATTTCAGTGTAGACGTACCCTAAGGCTCCAGTCTAGTTTTAAATTACACAAGCACGGAGGCAGATTCAGACCTCATCAGAGAAAGATCTACCAGATATTCCACCTAAGATTGGTTTGTTTCATTTTAACCCACTACACCTAGTTATGCTCCCTAGGGCTCTGCAATCCCTCTCACTTCTTTCTGAAAAGAGGTATTTGTACTTGGACTTTCCAGGCTGATTAATTGGGCCAGTTTTGGTCCCCCGATATGCACCACTCCTGCAGCTAAAGAGGCTGTACAGCTGCACTAGCCAGGCAGCTGAGGATTCCCAGGGTGGCGCACAGCCATCACAGATAGCCCCATGCTACGTGCTTCTAAGCGTTCAGCACAGGGACGTAGCTGGTGGAAGGGGGTATGGCAAAGTGTTGCTGTTCCCTGGCTGCCAGAATGGCCCCTTTCTGCTAGTTGTTGTTTTAACTTAAAGCTCTTGGCAATTCCGGGCCCCAGGGCAGAACAGTCACTGGGTGCTCTTCCAGGATGTCCAGGGCTTCCATATGCCTGCCTGGCTGTCTTTGTCGCCGCCGGTACCACCCCGTGTGCGCCTAGGAGCCCTGTGGCCTGTTCGGGTGATTTAAAAAGGCCTGGGGCTCCTGGCTGCTGCTGCTGCTACTGCAGCAGTGGTGGTGGCGGCCAGTGCCCCTGGGCTCTTTTACATCTGCCAGGCCCCTGGACAATTGCCCCCTTTCCTCCCCTCCCCCCCGTCGGCAGGCCTGGCTCTTGGCCTCAGGATCATGGAAGCACTAAGTCACGTTTGTCCACCCCCTCACACTCATGCAGTGAGCGAAGCTCGGCCAGACACAATGGTCAGGGCCGTTGTGTGAATACGTTTCCCTCTGCTCCAGATGCCGGGGGAGCGGAGGGGGATGAGTGGCCCCAAGTGAATCATAGATGCTGCTTCACTCCTGTCCCCGTCACAATCACTTCATCACAGACATCAAGTTTGACTCAGTCTTGATTAATCCCTTTTGAGTGTCTATCACCAACCTGTGCCCACTCAAGTGTTCACCTACTGTGACTCTAGTGCCTTTTGCAACATGGAAACCCTGTAGATACCTAGTTCTTTCCCTGGCTCTTGTATAAATATGGGTGTTAGCTGCTCTACAGGCCTCACGTCTTTCTCCAGTTCCTTCACGGTGTTATGGTCTGGTGTTAGCTGCTCAATTTTCCCATCTATTCTAAGGTCCCACTTAGTTTCATAGTGGATGGAAGAAATTAAGTCCACAGGCATTACAGCACCTCCTACAGTACACTTTCACATGAGCACATTAAAACGTTTGCACTCAAAACGTTTGTTACTGAAGCCTAGAGGTATGTTCCAGATGCGAAAAGCCATTGAAATAATAGGAAACAAAATGATACAAGCTGTTACTGGGCTCTGAATAAGGCCCTTTGATAGCAATACAACAAGAGCCTGTGTTTTCCGATCATGGTTAAACACAGATGGAAAGTGCAAATCCAGTTCCAGAGAACAGGGCCCTTTTCCAAGTTTTCTCTTTGTCTGGTATTTTCCGAGAATTTACTTTCCCTGCATGAAGCACTGCAGGAGCTTGGCAGTGACCTTCAAATCTCTTCCCGCATTTCACTTTTCTTTGGGTAATGAATCTCTTGTTTCATTTTGACCTCGATTTATTCAGGCCCAGGGCCTGGCAGATTTGGGAAAGTTATTACTGAAATAAACTTTGCTGTGTTTTCAAAGACCATATTATAACAAAACAGATTCAGATCCACTAGTAGATGAAATGAAGATAGTGAAAGTGACTAGATCCAGCTGCTAACAACATCTGAGCTATTGTTTCCTGTTTTCCAATACCAGATTCTTTATAGCATTTCTCTGTATTTTCTCTCTGATTTAATAAAAACAGCTTTTGTGTATAACAAACCTTTTAGGATGTTTTTCCCATCTGCTCATACTGAGATATATAGGAAAGACCAAACTATGCTCTCAGTCACACCAGTCTAAATCTGGTGTGGCTTAATTTACTTACTGGAGTTACTCTGCATTTACACTGGTATAAACAGGGAAAAGAAACTGGTCCAAAGTAATTTATCATCTGAAAAAGATAGAATAAACTCCCAAAAAGGTTCTTGAAAGAAAGATAATTTATGAGTTGCTGGTGGAGATGATTAGCAATTTATTAAATACAAATGGTGCCTAAGAATACTAAACAAGTATAAGATATGCTGGGGTCCTGAAAGGCTGACAGGAAACAGAGCCACTGGGGATACAAAGCAGTTCACCGGTTCAACTCCATCTCAAGTCAGTAGCAACTGAGGGACATATTCTCTTCTACCAATCTGGCCACTGTTGATGTTCCATAACCTGCTGGCCTAAGTTAGAACATCCCTCTTAGGCTGCTCTAATGTACACCAGGACTGCTTGAGATGAGGGAGCCATCACTGGCCCCTGACACCTCCTCCAGCCTTCAGCACAGGAAAGAATGTGACCCTGAAAGTCATTTGCCTGTTTGAAATGAGTTAGGGGTCAGACATATCCATCCAGTTCCTAAGCAACAGGTGTCTGCATCATAGAAACAACAATCACAACTGGCAATAACTGATTTCCTTGTTCTCAGTAGAGAAGGTAAGGAGCAAAACAGCCAGAGACTGAACTCCCTACTCACCCCTAGAAGCAGTCCCTCCTCACCAAGGAAGAGGCACATTGCTAGAGGGAGCTTGCACAACTGATGCTTATACTGTTCCTCTTCTGAGGATAAAGAGGGAGACTGGAGTCTCTGGGGCTTTCAAACTAGCACTTTTCACCAGAGCTTAATTCACTTAAAAGAATAAAAGAGAAACAGATGAGAAATTCTAAGTGCTTTAGAACATGGTGACCTAACTCTGCTTTGTAGTGAGGAGAAGAAAGAGAGAGAGATGGCCTCAATCATTGCTGCCAGAGAGTGATGTAATTGTTAGGACAACAGGCAGGACTAGGTTTATTGGTGTTAGGATATGAACCATCTGCAGAACACACAACAACTGAAGTCTTCATTTCCAGAAGTGACACCCTTTGTGGGGCACACATTCCAGAGTCAGAGCTCAAGCCACATCCTCTCTCCTGAATATGGGGATTTATCCCTCCTGAATATAAGTCGTAGGGACACTGTAGGCACAGGAAAAACTCATCCCTATGCCTAGATCTCTTTCAGGATCTTCCCTCAGGGCAGTTTTAGTCTTGAAACATAAAATATAAGCAAAACATCATTCTTTCCTCCTCAGGGCTGAAAGGAGAACATACCCTTCTCGTCCAGTTCCTGCTTCGGAACCTACTGCAGAAACCCATCTCCCTCCAGTTGAACTCTCTCAGCCCTTTATAGGGATCACTGGACCCCTTCCTAGCTGGGTCTGACACTCAAACGGGGCTGGCTGGTGGCCCTAGGCCCTTAAAGGGGCAGACCATCCTGTTACACATGCATAGTGCATATATCATCTGCCAAGCACTAGCAAACAAACCGATCTTCAAAGGTGAGTATTAAGATGACTTGAAAAGTAACTGAAAGATGGCAACAGTAAAGCTGTTTCCTCTTTTGAATACATTGTGCACTCCATACTGCCTCATAATAGTCCAGCTAGAAGCTTAGCCAGCCCAATTCTTAGGTTGTGTGTGTTCTTGATAAGACCAAATGGAGCAATCCCTATGGTTCTTGGTATATGGAATTAGAAAGGTCCTATGAAGGAGAAAGGGGATTACGCTATATTATCTACACCCTAAAGCCTGAAAGTGAGTTTGAGCTATAGTACACTTCATGCTACCAACCCTCAAATCACTGTTCAATACTAAGATGACAAGAATCACTTACAAGGCACTTCCAGATACACTGCAAATCATAGTCCCAGATGATGCTGTGGAGCATTTGTCTCCGCTGAATTCACTGTAGGAAGTTGATGCTCTGGAAGAGGGTGAATTTCCACTGCTGTCTGCAAGACAAGATGAAACGGGCATGGTTTCCACAATGAGAGAGAAATGGTATTTGAGGATATCAAACTGTTAACTAGTGATCAAAATGCAATTAACATGAATAACTGTAAGGTGTCAAGAATCATCCCGTTTCCACCATTTTCTCTC